ATATATAAGTAGTATCTAGTAGTAATTAGTATCTGGTAGTACCTAGTATTTATAGAAATATATACTAGATACTACTAGATACTACTTATATATATATACATACTGTTACTGGTAAAAAAAAACTTGAGAAACTTGAGAAATCGTTTAATTTTGTATTTAGAACGTTAACGACGTTACGATGAATGGCGTTCAGGTCCATTTGTACGGTTGCAACAAGTTGGACGGACTGCACGTTTTGGCGTTGCACTCTGATGCAGCAAATGACACCAGAAGGCACATCGAGCGAAACAAATGAATGGGAGTTAGAATCGATGGAGGTATGCAGCATAAATTGACCATAGATGACTTATGAAAGTTGGATACAAACTCTATCCTGCTGCTTGAACTCTAGATGTCTGATACTTGATTGAAACGATCCTGCGCCTATTAAAATTCAATTAACGATACTGAATATCTTGGAACTTGATATATACTTACATCTTATGATTTGAAAGTTCAATCTTCGAGATTTTCTAAATTAGAAAAAGAAGGGATTTCTAAATATCTTTGGAACTTCACTTGTTCGTGTCTTGTCGGTTCTTACTCGAACTTGCCTTTCACTCAAAATTGTCCTACAATTGAACAAGTCTCAAAGTCTTCATCCCCTCTGTCCTGCAAAATTTTTCAAACTCCTTCGAGTGGGTACGAAACTCGCCGACAGCTCAAGAATTGTTCAATTGTCGCGGATTGGACAATTCTAATTTGGCCTCGGCACGAAGTTCTGCAATTCTGAAATTCGTACGGCTTCCTTCAGCACGTGTAATCGTTCCATATTCTAAATAGAAATACACTCGCTGTGAGGATAAAATCGATCGAGGTGGAGTGTCACAGCCTGTGACTCACCAGGCGTGTTCTATAATAGCGATACAGCGGACATGACACGAGGCACAACGACGGGATATTTTGGCGTTTTTCGACGGAAACCGTTAGCAAAATTGGAACGCCCGGCAAACAAACTGGACATGGATTTACATGCCTGGCAAATAAAATCACTGATTGACCGGTCGTTCAGACACGGATCGATCAGCGTCATTTAATTAACGGTGCTCGAATCGGTGGGAATGGGACTTAACGCGACCTCCAGCTCAACGGCTGACGCCAGAGCTGTCGAATAAAATCGATTTCAATGGCGGAAGATTCCACCGTTTCGTTTAAAAAAAAGAAAAAGGAATTCCACCGTCTACACTCGCTATTGTCAACAGCTGAAGCCTTAAATCAAATCTAATAGCAGCGACTTCATGTATAATTTACACCAACGTTGATTAGAAAACGTGTACTGCTTCTTATTGCCCAATGAAGAGGGAAATCTTTTTCATACGATATGAAATTTAACATAATCGGGCCTGATCAATCGATATGTAAATGTTGCAATAAATATAATCAGGTAATCGTGAAAAATAATGGTTAGTCCACGTGTGGCAGATTTCTCTACTAAAATGAGGACAACATGACACGAAATGAAAGCACACTTTCGAACTTTCAGCTCAACTCTCGCTTTATCGATAAAAATTGTCACAGGACGACGGGGCAAGTCAATAATATGGGAACCACCCTGGCATCTCATGGTTTCCAGCGAGCGACATGGCTCGCTGGAAACCATGACACAGAAAAAGAAAAAAAAAGAGAGAGAGAGAGAGAGAGAAAAGCAAAGCAGCGGACGAAGGATGAACGAGTCCAAGACGCGAATCGGGGGAAGAAAGAGGTTTCAGTTACGCCGTAATTGTCGCAAGAGAGAAAGAGAAGAGGGGAGAGGATACGGTGTTATCGTTTAAACGTGTTGGAAAGAGAAAGGACGAAGGTGAAGACGCGGTGAAGAGCAAGCGAGAAAGAAGACCCACGCGGCTCCCTCCCGAGATGACATCTCCCCCGTGACCTTGGAACGGAGGCTGACCTTGACCGTGTCAACCCCCACCAGGCCGGTCTAACGCGTCCCGGCTGCTCCCCCCACCACTTCACGTCCCCACGGCAGCCAGAGTCGCGTCGTATTACGCGAATGCGATGTTGCTCGGTACTGGTGGCTGCTGCTGCTGCTGCTGCGGCTGCGGGCATCGTTGCTGCATCGACCGGCCGCAGCACAGACTGCCAGCCCCCTCGTCTTTCACCCTTCGACCCCCTGGCAAACCCGTCATGACCCTCCCGCCCCATCCCTTTAACCAAGCCACCAAGCAGCGAGCTGCCGGCGGATCGCGTCCCACCGCCCTTTTCATTCTACATACCCTATATAAACGTCTATCAACATTTCTGGTGAAAGTCGAGAGGAATCGTCGTGCATGTTTGCGTAAATGATGGTCGCGATATACCCACATCAAGGGCACATGTACCGCCCGTATATATTACGTTTGTGACGTTGAACGTTTCTAAAGAACAGAACGTGAGAATCCTGCTACAGTGGATGGAGAAATATATATATATATATAATTCACGTTTGACGAAGAGTCTGAATATCGATGGAATCGCATCCTCCCGTGCCTAGTCGAACGGCATGTTTTTCGAAAAGTTCCTCGCAGCGTGTACGAAGGAATGCCATTCGCCGGTGGCCGTTTTTCAAGCCTCCCCTGGTTGTCCGGTAGCTTTCTATTTCGTACGTGCATCGATATTGAATACCTTGAATGAAGATATACCGGCGAGGATATCTTACGGATATCCGCCGGCCGGAGGTGAATTATCGCGGCAGAATCCAGCCCGTGAAAACGAGAACGGAGTGGCTCGCAAAGCAAAAGTTTCTACTCGGACAGGCTGGATTTACAGCCACGTGGACCGCTCACCGATTAGTCGCATTTCTCGCGAACGATGCTTTCCGCAGCAAATCGAATACGTAGGCGCTCAAGAAAGAGAGAAGAAAGAGGAGGAGAAGGAGGAAGGTGCTTTTACTGCGAAGGAGCAAGCACCCTCCTTCTATTTCTCCGTCGTTCGAGCTGCCTTCGAAGCTGCTCTCCCCCAGCGTCCCGCCACTCTTCCACCCTTCCCACCCACATCCTTCGTATCCTTTCTCTTCCCTGCTAACCGAAATCCCATCTTTCCTCTCGCTCGCACGCCTAGCTAGCCCCACTAACACCCATCCGCGTGGAACGCCAGAGGAACCCTTTCCCCGGCGATAATGTAGGTGAAAATATAGGGTGGCGCGCGATACAAGCCGCGCTCTTTATGCGAATCAAATCGTCCGGAATACGTACGATTTATTCGAAGATCAAGTATTGTTTGTTGTAATTTTTTGATCAAGAATATCTGCGTAATTGTGAAACGCGTAATGAAAACACGTAGTGTGGTTTCGAAAAGAGAAGCTTCCCAAAGGTTTCAAGGTCATTTGCAAAATGTAGCATCTACCGATAAAGAGATTTTTATAGCAACGATAATTTCCAAGCGCCGAAAGCACAAACTTGCTTCTTAACCTCTTGCGCTGGCAAACTGGTTCACCGACCATAACGAGTGACCAAACCGTATACAATAATTCGTCACTTTCTTTTTAAATTCGTTGATACGATATCATTGGATAGAAATTATTACTAAGAAGCAATAAATCTATTATTTTGCCTTATATTTAAATAAATTTAAGACTGAGACAACACTGCAATTTTGGGAGAAAAAATTCTCGACGTGCGTAGCACGTCATTCCAGCGCTAGAGGTTAAAGCTGCATCTCCATTGCGTCGTAGATTTGCCGATCGGTAGAACCGCTCAACACGAAAAGCCGTTTCACGGTGCGTGTTTTGAAAATGACTCAGAACACAAGATCGATAACACAGTGAAATTTCGATGGACTTGCGAACATATTCTTTTTTTAGATGTCGAACATGCATCCCCTTGCTGCTTTCAACTTTTTTTAAATATTTGCCGGCACCAATCGGAAGATCGTACCTTTCTCAAGCTATGCACGTCCCAAAATCACGTCTACACTGTTCGACAATCTGGTACTGCCGATCAATTTTGCCGATATTTGTTGCACGTCCTCGCTTCATCGGCATCGTAGTAGACATCTATGATAAAATGTTCGACAACGATGAACCCAGTACCGATTTCGGCACGATTTCTTTTCGATACTAACGTCGATCGGCATGTCGATCGGCTTTTTGTGCCGTGTCAGGCCTAAGTCTACAGTTTATCTGACATTGTCGAACTGTCTTTGCCAACGTAATGAAAATGCGGCTTCGTAGATTGGCATGTACGAACCAGCCAATGGAGACGTGGCTTTAGATACTACCGAACGGCCTTGCCGATCGGCAACTAGCAGCGCAGTGGAGACACAGCTTTAGGTTACATTTGGCACGCACTCTTTGGCCTATAGCGTTAATGACGCATATTTCTGGCACGCGTATCAATTTTTAAACGACCTTCGCTGCATAAACTTCCTGCAATGATAAATTCAGTCTCAGAAAACTCGAGAGGTACGCGTGCTTAAAAAAGTTAAGTCTTAGAAGTGCAATAATTTTACAGTTTCTTAAGACAACATTTGAAAATACAGTAGAAAGATAGAGAGAGACGAAAAATGTACATTAAGTTTTTTCGTAGACAATGTAAAATGGGAGATCGATAAGAGGCAGGTAGAAACGGAATAACACGCAATAACGTCTTTCGATCATGAGCTGGTTTGATGGAAAGGTCCGTGTCATCCAGCCAATTTGTTTTTACACGTCACAAGTTACCTCCACGATCGACGTGCACGGAGTGTAAGATATATCAACGAATCTCAAATCAGAGTTCAAAGTTATAAAAGGAATACAATTACATTGTCACAAAGCGCTGCGCCTTTCAAATTAATGTCAAACACGCGCGACCCTCGCGCCCTCTTTTTACAAAAAAAGTCATTACACAGATTTGCGGAATTAAAATCCCTAGTTCCGAGCAATTACACAACATCGACGGATGAACATTGAGAAACAGACGAATAACTGAACTTATGCTAATTAAATACGTAGCAGTGCTTTAGAAATTCATCTACGAAAATTGTTATTTAAATCGAACTGTCACACCATGTGCTTCCCGGCAACTTGCACAAAGAACGAGCATCGACGAAACGTTTTCTTTCTAACGGCTAAAAATTCGGCAACAACGAATCGTATCTCTTCCTAACAGCGGCCACAAATAGACGAGAGTGTAAAATGCGTTTCAGACTCACCCCTGTCGAATTTCTTCCCCTCTGGATCGATGTCTTTTACGTTGAAAATATCCTCGAATAGTACACCCGCCATTTTAGACTGTCCTGACAGTGCTGCCCCCGCGCAAAGAATGTTAAGTTCACATCTGAGAACGTAATTTTAAATGACTATGATCATTAACTAGTCAATGCTATGATTCAACAATCTATAATTTCATTCAGTCATTAAAAATTTATGAAATACAGCGTCGAGTATATTAATATAGCCCATTTCTATAAACATTAATCTCGAGCATTGTTAGATTATTTCTTCAAAATTTCACCTTGGAATAAAACAATTAACATTTCCTTAAACTGGATATTCAGAATAAATTTTATTTTTGTTATACCTTCGTAAAATATCTTTGAACTTTGAACTATGAATAAAATATATTGAACTATGAATCATAAAGCAACTTTCTGCATTTGTAACGAAACATCAATACAATTAAGAAGTAATGATGTTTATTAGATTTAAGACTCAGATAACCTTGAACGCTCGATTTGTAACAATTAAGCAGAGGGAGCCACTATATAGGCTTGCAGTTTTTACGCAGTACAATTATCCTTTTCACGCAGCTCAAGAGGGTCCTGTTGTGATATATGGTAATATGTCTCGACATTGATACAAAACGCGTTACGTAAAATTAACAATTTCGTAGTATTGCGCAATAACCAGAAAATTTGCGAAAAGTACCATCGACTATAAAAGATCACGCGTACAGATTTAAATATTTACCGAGCAGAAACGCGTACTCTGGAATATGATTTTTCGTTGATAAAATTCTCTCATGTCTAAATTTATACATTTTATATGATTCGAGATGTACTTCGGTTCCTTCTTCCTACATTGCTAGATGTGCGTGCGTGGATTCAAAAAATTTTCGCAGACTATTGCATTGCAAGATATTGACGTAATAAATACTATTTTAAATTACAAAACTGTAACATGTTTCGTGCGAAAGAGAATTAATTAATTTTACCGTTTTTAA